CCGTGGTATTGGGATTGCCAGGCACCTCACTATCTCGATCTGTCTTAGAGCGTTTTGAATGTTTTATAGCCCACCGCGCGTAAAATCGTAGCCGAGAGTTACGGTCGTACAGCCGTACTTTATTCCCCTTTCGCTTCAACTAATTTGATTTGATTTTGATCTATGGTCCGATCTCAGGGGGGGGGGGGGGGGTTATACTCAGCTGAAGCCAAGATCTGTACCATACACCCACCGTTTTTGGCTTGCCACCCCGGGGTATCTGTCAATGAACGGAGATCTACGGCGGCAATAAGCTCCAGACGGGAATAAAAAGGAAGCAGTGACAGTTTATCGGCGAGTCATCTCCCAGGATCCAGGATGTTGGGCCCTGCACAAGCCGCACCTTGATAGGTTCACCAAGAACGGGAAGTGTGGATTCGATTTTAGTTGGTTGCTAGTGTCGGGGCACTTTGGTATTGAGATCCGAAGATCGAGAAGAGGAAAATGTTATAGATAATATTTTAATCAAAGTTGGGTAATAAGTAATATAAGTGTAGGCATAATTATACAGTTTCAGGTGCTTTTTTAGATTTCATGACGAATTACTTTTCTGAACCGGAACCTCCGACACTTGCGATCTGCATATTAAGAATAGCACCCGTCAATTTAGGGCCTGTGCGTCTTCCTAATGGGTGTTTGGGTGTGCCTGACAGCTACGAGTTACAGAGTTAATATTTTAACTATCGATATTACTAGCTGGTTGCCTCGTATTTTATAGGGATTTAGAGATCTGAACAAGGATTTTGAACTGTTTGTGGGGGATATCGATAATAGGAGCGCCACTCTTGGGGGGTTTGACCCGTGAAATAATTGAATATTTAAATATAAATGAAAAAAAAAACATAAAAACAAAGTACGAAAATAAATTCCAAAAAGAAAACCAAAAGATCTACAAATAGTGGGACAGGGATCCTGGATCGGGGCCCCAAGCCTAAGCTACTGCATGCCCGTGAATTGCGCCAATCTCGCTGCATACGATGAGGTTCCGACTTCTAGGATCATCCTTGTGGGATTAATTAGATTATTTTTTTTTTGTCGTGCTTTTGTCATCTGTACACATTAAATCTAGAACTGAAAAAGGCGTGCATATCCCCTTGAGTTTTGGCTATACACCCTCGGGTTTTATTTAAGTCGACCATCCCACTTGATCGTCTTGTTTATTTCATTCACAACTGTCTCAACTTCCCTTTCGTTTACTTGAGAACATAACAAGTGGAGGCATTCTTTCGTTCCTGCATCCGGCTACGAACAGTCACTGTGCTGCAGTTATCCGCTTTCCATCCCCATTGAGACACCTGCACATTGTCCACTCGAACTGTGTGAGTACACCCATCCGATTCCTAGTTCTATTTACAAGAGCTTGATTGGACCCCGGTTGCCGGAATACCAGCGTTTGTCCTACCGGTTCCCGTACCGGTGCGGCAATGGGCTTTCCGCCGTTGGTTCATGAACACCTCTCCTGGGGACGGACTGGTGCTGCCGAAGATACTTAGAAGCAGTTGGCTGACTGCAAGTCTACAGAATCAGTATCCTGACTAAATCCCAACCCCGCCACTCGAGCAACACCATCTATAAAGAGAAAAGTCTCTCCTAGACGTGCAGCATCTAGAACCAAAATCACTCTCATTCCCGATATCTTGATACTCTATTTCGACTGAGATTCAATTATCCTTCTCGAGACGATTGCGTCCCAGCTGGTTTCACCCACATCACCTATACATATCCGCCACCATGGTTTACAGCAAACCTAATCCCACAGGCGGCGCCATGAAGAGGTCTGCCTCGGCCCTCGAAGGACCCCCCGGATGGGGGGATGTTCCTGTATGTTTCCCCGCAAGAGAAACATGGGTTCATTCTTACTGATGTTCGATTTAGCCAATGATGAGCTCCTCCCGCGCATCCTTCCGTCCTCCTTACGCCCACTTTGCCATGATTTACCTGGACCGTGATGGCAAGCTTAAGGTTGATGAATCATCTTCGATTCAAGAGCGTAACTCCACTGTGTTCACCCCGGAAGTCCGCCAGAACTTCCTCGAGATTCTGGGTGAACGTATCGGCTACCATGCGCCTGCTCACCGTATGTCAAAGGCTCATTCCCAGACCCTAACGACCAATGTATGCTGATAACAATACACAGAGACCATGGACACATCTCCTCGTCGAGTGAGACGTCGTAAGGGTAACGCTCCTGCTCTTTCCGTCTGTGACGATCGCCTGACTGAGCAGGACTCTGACAGCGAAGAGTTCGCTAATGGGTCCACCGAAATGGTCCCTCTCCGCATCGGAGACGCCCAGAAGGTCATGGCCTACTATGAAGGTGCCCTGAAGCACTTCCAACAACTTAACTGCCGCATGGTTGCCAAAGCATTCATCAAGTTCATCGAGCCTCGCAAGCAGGTCCGACACCCCTACAACGGTGGCAAGGCTCCACCAGGATCCGCCCCCGGTACTACTGGTGACCCAGAAAAGACCAAGCCTGAGTGGTGGCCTCCCGGTGTCATGCACAAGGAGCCTGACCACCTGAGAAAAGAGTGTATGATTTCCCTTAGATCTGACTGATTCTTGTTCTACTTACTAACTCAATTTTATTAGACCGCATTGAGTTGTTGCTTCACATTATTCGCAAGCTCGGTGCTTACGGTATTACTGCTGATAAGCTCAAGGACGTTGCTGGCGACACTAAGCGGAGCTTGAAGCACGCATCTCACGTCGAGATCATCTACGAGATCCTTCGGGTCCGCAAGATGGAAGAGCGTTTCGAGAGAGGTGAAGTCGATGCCAACATGGTCGTCTACACAATGAACCGAGGCCCTAGCCCTAAGGGTGATGAAGAAGACGACTCCACCCCCTCGGTGACCATCGAAGAGCCCGAGCACATTAGCCAAGGATTAATGACCCCCATCTCATCATTCGAGCAAGCATCTACCTCATTAACCACACCCATCGACAACATCCCATCAGCTCGCTCCCTCCTCCCAGGCAACTTCTCCGTGGCGGAACCTCTCAACTTCGAACATCCCACCCGACAGGACCGCCCCTACTACGCCACACCTCCTCAATACACCGAGTCATTCTCGCAGTCCATGCTCAACGCTCCCGTGACAGCAGAGATGATCAGCCCCCACGACGTCTCAGTCTCGTCCTTTGACTACTCCACTCACAACACCTTCTCAAACTCCACACCCGATCACTCACGCGCGGGACACTACGACACCTGGGCCCCATCTTTCCGCCAGAACATCTTCACACCGGTCGAGTACCCAACGCCGGCATCTAGTCAGGGTATGGCACAGTCTACAATGGCCTACCAGATGCCCATGGTATCGCAAATGCATGACATGTCCCATCACCACGCCCAGCAGTCCCAGATGGACTCCATCCACCAAAGATCCCTGCCTTTCCGAACTGGATCGCTGGGCCACCCAAACAATAATGCGCTGCCTCTCTCCCACACTGTCTAAATGACTTACTTGGTGTGGGATTCTTGTCACGAATGATTTTGAGTCGAGGATGGCGATGAAATGGGTATGGGTATGGGTATTAACGAACATATATGAGTGATGGCTCTGGCCAACAAACTTAGCGCTTATCATAAGGCTTTGCCAAGGGAGTTGTGATTTTTGAAATTTTGGTATAAAAACTTGGGGTCATCTTTCAGAGGCCGGTACAAATGGGGTTTGGGTCTGTTTGTTTTTCTTTCTTTTTGAAAATACTTGGGTTTTTGTTTTGATTTGAAGTGATCTCTATTCCGGTCTTTACTTTCCGCAGCTTCTTTCTTTGCTTTTTATTTACGGTCTCGCCTTTTTTTCACCTTTATCTTTTTGGTGTTGACCTTTCACATCATTTTATTGTCTTCTGTTGATCTGCTTATTCGCTTGATCCTTTTGCTTTTGTTGTCTATATGGGGTTCTCCAACTTGGATATTTGGAGCTGTTGATAAATGAGATTTGGGTAAATACTTGAAATTTTATTCTGTCGATAATATGCAACAGTGCCTCTAACTTTTGTCAAACTTTATAACTAGTTAGTCTAGCTCTTAGTTTCTCCAACTATGTACTCACCTATTTCATCTCATACTTGGCCATGCACCTAAGCGTCTCTGGAGACCTTTACTAACAGTTTTCTAACCTTTTCTTCTTGTTATGGAGTACTATTGTTCAACCCAGCCCTCAGCCGAGAGACTTCACGCATAGGGTGTCTGATACAAACAACAGGGTCTAATTCTAACCTCTGGTTATGATTGGATATGTACAAGAATAGTTGGCTGCTTATGCGGCCTTGTAATGTGTCTTTAGTGGTCTTTTCGGTGGCCATTATAATGTATCTTGTAGAAGCATTTGTGAAAACGAGTTTTCTAGGTACAACCTGAGACATAGTCATCTGTACGTTTTCTGCTCTGCGCTGCCCTTTCATCTTTCCAACCATAAAACTGAAAAGGGAAATAGACAGCCATAAAGACATCATAGCATTCATTTTAAACATAGTGTCGTACACAGCGGCCGCGCAAGCGTCCAACGTTTCTTGTAGATATTGTATTAATTCGACATGACTCTCGCGTCTCCCTATAAATTTATGATGTATTGAATACAAACTAGGACTTGGTCACCTACTATGCCACATCTTACCTAGGCAGAAGTATAGGCGTCGGACTTGGATGGAATACTTGCTGGACTATATAATTCTTTGTCGTCTTATAGATGCTTTTGTCTTTCTATTAGGTTTCTCCTCTCTTAAATCCCTAGGCTCTTCAACTTTTCTCTCGCTCAAGAAATTTGCGATTATTGTATTACACTCAAATTAGAGGCTCGAGTCTCACCCGTCGGTCTATATGCAGTTCACAATATCTGCCCTGAATCCAGATGAACAGAGACCCCCGGGGTCCAGATAGGACCTTCTGGGGTTGGTATCTGCTTACAATACACAATTCTGTCAATGGCAGCTCTGGTCAATAATACATACATCCTATTGTTTCTGTTGACTGTGGAATAGTCAATGATTCGCTCCAGCGGCCAATTAGGCGCAAGCGCGGGACGCGCGCCCGCCCGCCCAATTAGGCGCTTGGTCAGCGGAAGAAGCGGAGCCACTCCCCGGGGCCGCTCAGCTTGAAGCTCCGTGAGCACAGCGGAACTTGCATTTCCATCCTCTTCAATCGCTTTGTGCTCACTACGCGTTTAAATTCAGTTTTATTCTCATGTGGGCTTTGCTGTGTGGCTAATCAACCGGTGCCGCCTTTCCAGTTCACGCCACTATCGCAAACTCCGACGCGCACGATTCACGAGCTTGAACAATCCCATCAATCGCAAATACCGAAGGCGATAAGCCCGCAAGCTCGCTCATACGTCCTCCCGACGAGAAAAGACTTGTGAGTTTACTGACAGGTAGCGCGAATACCTACCCCCCAAGTCTATTAAACACAGCTTTGTCCTCCGGCCTTTCTTTGTATCCATCCGCCATCTTTTCTGTGCGGTATTGGGATATTCCGGCCATTTTATCATGGCCTTAGAACATGGGCTAACTTCTTTGTTGTCGCCTCGGCGAACCAACTCCAGCAGACAGCAAACACCTTTCCAGATCTCTGCGCAGTCGACTTTGCCGCCTATCGCATATCGGAGTTATCCACCTGAAAAATCCGAAACCAATTTGACCATAAAGCGAGCAGGGAGGCTTTTCCAAGAGGCGGCGGCCTATCCACTTAATTCCGCTCTTTGCGGGCAGGATGGCTAGCCCGTTCAATCCTTCTGCTGGCCGCGGCCATAGGGGAGGCGCGCCGGGCGTGCAAGGCTCAACGGGAAGGGGAAGAGGTGGGAACCCTGGACATACGTCAACATATGTGCCGAGAGGGGCAGCTGCACCTCGTGCGACGAGGGCTCGAGGGCGTGGACGAGGGTCAGCGACATGGACAGCTCGTGGCCGTGGTCGCGGCGCAGGCGCTGCAGGCCACATCGTGCATGGATCCCAACAACCCGCAGAGGGCCCCAAGCCTGGTGTTATCAACTCGCCATTTGCCCAAACCAATCAGCAAAAATCTGTCGCGTCGCCGTTCGGCGCTCAGCCCGCCCAGCAGTCTCCGTTTTCCAGAGTCACCAACAGTGCTTCGGCTTCGAACGTCGCCAAAAACCCATTCGCCCAACCCACGAGCAATATGAAACAACAATCCTCGACAAAGTTTGTTGGTGGAGGATCAAATATTGCCGCGTCCATGGAGCATGCATCGACGTTGAGCAACTACCAGGAACGCTTTGACAAAGTCAGCCTGCCCTTCCTTGAAAATGGACAACACGACCACAGAGCTAACGAACTCCACAGCTGAAAATTGACCAAGTGAGACAGCGCGAACGGGCGATCAAAGATGGCCAAATGGCGGACCCAAACCAGCCGACTTCCTTGAACCAGGCTATCACGCCTGTGGGTACCTGTACTGGCATGTGCCCCGATTTCGAGAGAGTAGAGCGGATCGTGCAAAAAGCAGTCGACAAATGTGAAAAGGTAATGGTGCGCCGGTTGCTATCTTTGGCGCCACGCTGACACGCAATTTTAGTATCATAACCCAGCAACGAACCAGCTAGAAATCATGGAAACCAAGATGGTGAAACGCTTCCGGCGTGCAGCAGCTGGAAATGACGAGCAATTGCCCTCGGATATCCGCACACCAAAGACACTTTTGCAAACCATGAACTATCTCATTCGTTATGTTATCAACGGCGGTGAATCATTGGCTGCCATCCACATGTTTGTCTGGAATCGGACACGATCAATCCGAAACGACTTCTCGGTCCAGCAGCTTACACACGAAGAAGATGTGAAGACAGCGGTTCTTTGTCTAGAAAGAATTGCGCGGTTCCATATCGTATCTCTGCATCTTCTTTCCAACCCGACGAACACGGAGCAATTCGACCGTCACCAGGAGCGTGAGCAGCTCAACAACACCATGCTATCTCTCATGTACTACTACGATGATAACCGCGAGCGTATTCACTTCCCCAACGAGGATGAGTTCCGCGCCTACCATATCTTGTTTTCGATCCATGACCAGCGGCCTGACCTGGAAGCCCGTGTCCAGAAATGGCCACCTGCTCTACTGTCTTCACCTCGCGTGCAAGTGGCATTAGAACTCTTTGCTGCTGCCTGTAATACATGGGAACCTCAAGGTGCTCTGGATTCTCGCCGAACGAACGCAGTCGCTCAGGGACTCTACACTCGCTTCTTCAACATCATCAATTCCCCGAGTGTGTCGTATCTGATGGCTTGTGTGGCTGAGGTGTACTTCAACCACATTCGTCAGACAGCAATCCGCGCAATCTGGAAAGCCTACTGCCGGACTCCGCTGTCACAGCAATCCAAAAACGACCATTGGACTGTGGAGGAATTAACCAAAGTGTTGCACTTCGACGACGACGAGCAAACAATTGAATATTGCAATTCACAGGACTTGCAGTTTGTGGAGAACGCGAATGGTGGACTGTATCTCAATTGGGGTGATCGACCAGTAGACTCTGTTGGTAAGTGATGCCAAACAACAACTTCATCTCAACCGAATCTCGTTTCCTTTCATTTCCCTCCCCCTTCTCCATCGCCCCAAGTTCATGATACATTCTATCCATCACATTTCTTCCTCTTTCCTTGTTTTTATGACTAACAATTTTCCAGACTTTGCGCCTTCATCTGACCACTCTTTTTCCGAGACTTATGTGGAGTCAAAACGTGCAGGACGTAGTCTTGTTGCCGTCATCCTCGGCATGAACATTAGAGAAGCCGCAAGAATGGGCATGATTGATCGCTCCCAGTTGCCTGACAAGAGTGAAACCCTGCCTGAGGCTGAGGCTGAAGACGGGGATCTCTTCGTGAGTGACATTGATAACCAGACGCCCGCACCTGTGGTTGAAACACACAATACTCTTCTTCAGGATACGTCTGCGTCTGAATTCCGGATCGCTTCCGAGTCTCAGAAATCTTTACAATATACTCACGCAAGTTCGCCTTCCCTGTTCCAGTCAAATCCGCCACCCGCCGCTTCAAAGCCGCCAAATCCTTTCGCGGCGGCCTTTCAGCCATCTAAAATGCCATCTCCTCCACCCGCAAATCCATTCGCAGCTTCGATGCCTTCTACCTCTGTCATTCCTGCAGCGCCGTCTCCTTTCACTTCTTCGCCAAACCCATTCTTGACCCCAAAAGAACCCGAGCCAAGCAACAAGACCGACGCTTCTACCCTGACCACGAATGTGGCATCCTCGCTCTTCCAGACAAAACCCCCTGCTCAGATTGATACTGTCGACAAGCCAGCTGTTCCGTCCATTAGTCCCGCGGGGCCCTCGCCGTCCGCTTTCGCCTCTACTTCTTCTTCATCCATATTCACAAAACCAGCGTACGCAGAATCCAAGACAGAGACATCTGATGTAACTCCGCCTGCGCCTGCGCCTGCGTTTTCAAAGCCCAGCATATTCTCTCCTGCATCGTCTACTACAGACAAACCCGCCTCGCTATTCCCGAATGGCTCTAGTTCTGTGCTATCCGCCGCCTCGAACCCTTTCGCTGCGCCGTCTACGTTCTCTTTCTCCAAGCCATCGGACTCAACCCAAAAGACAGAGACTCCTGCGGCAACCACCCCTGCACAGTCTACGCCATTCAAACCCCCTAGCACTTCGCCTCATGAGGCGGGCGCTTTCACTCCGCCGTCCTTATTCTCCTTCCCCAAACCATCAGAGTCAGCCCAGAAGACGGAGACGCCGGCGACAGTTACTACCGAGCCATCTACCCTCTTCAAGCCCAGCAGCTTGCCTCCTACATCGTTGACTGAATCCAAGAGCCCCTTCGCATCTTCCACATTCTCTGGTACCAATCCCTTTGGTTCCACGTCCATGTTTCCAAAGGCAAGCCGTGAGATAGAAAAGCCTTCTGCAGATACCGTTACTCAGTCTACGATGTTCAAAAGCGATGCCAAACCCCAGCAATCATCGATTGCACCGAACAATCCTTTTGCGCTTCCGAATGCTCCGCCATCTTTCCCAGCTGCAGGTCTGGGAACCGGTGTTACCTCTGCTACTCTATCTCCTTCCCAATCCATTAAAGTCGCAGATACAAATGCAGTCAAGGAACCGGCAACTGCGTCGAGTTACGGGCAGCCCTTCTCGCCGTTCTCGGTGAACAGTGCTGGTACCACTTCAGTGTCTTCGAGCGCGGTTGCAAGCCAATCTCCAGTCCCCGTCTCAATCTTTGCAGTTCCCAAGGTACCACAGCCTAACCAGAAAGCGGATATACCAGCAACCACTGCACCCAAGCCGAGTGAAACTTCAGTATTCAGCCATTCTGCACCTGCACCTGCACAGGCCCAAATACCTGGCCCACCTCCTATCAACGCCTCGGCTTCAATTTCGGGCACGCGTCGGTCTGTATCGCACACTCAAGCGACAGCCCCTTCGCCTCCCCGGACCCTATTTGAAGCACTTCGCCAGCCTAAAATATTCGACACAACATCGAATGCATATTCTCCTGACACGGCGATTGCTCAGCCGCCAACGCCCTTGTTCCAAAGCCCAGAATCCTCGGTGGCGCCTGGACAGCAAGGGTCGCTGAAACGACAGCATGAGGCCACCGACGCAAATGGATTCAATGAGCACAAGAGACGCTCCTCGCTGAAAGGAAAAGGCCCTGCTGTAGCGCCTGATGGATCATTCAAACGGTCCGTGCATTTTGAAGAGGCACACGAAAGGGAAAAGCCTACGCCGCAGGAGTCGCAAGTCCTCAAAAAGAAGCGAGTACTGGATGAGCAGACTGAGCCCCAGCCGGAGGAGCAGGGCCCGAGTACTAAGGTGCCCAGGGTATCCACAGCGGAAGAACATGTCCCTTTCAACTTCTCCGTCTATAAAGCAGAGAACCGCCCCATGCCGAAGCTCCCGATCTTGGAAAAGCTGGAAGAAAAGCTTGCACGGGCCAAGGCCTTGTGCGAGCCGAAGCGTTTGACCGACGAACAACTCCAGTTAATCGAGGAAGCGCGACTGAAACGGTCTCGCCAAGTCGACGAGGACGAGATTGCCCTCTCCCGGGCACGGATCTTGGCCGAGAAGTTGAGGACCGGCCCTGGAATCTTCGACGGTTGGACTGGCCAAATCCGCCAGCCATGGCATGACCCAAACTGGAACCCTGTTGCCCGGATCCTGGAAAAGCATCACGCCCGGAATATCCCCCAGCCAACTTCCTATGTACCCCCGCGTATGACACTTAATCGCACCGCCAGAGGCTACGAGGTCGCTTATGCTCCTGATACCCCGGACCGACCTATGTCCCGCACCGAGCAGCGTATCCGACGCACTGGTGCCCGTGGACTTGCACATGTGCCCCTGGATTTCGAACGCCATAGGCGAGAGAAAGAGATGGCCAAGAGCACGAACGGGAAGAAGGAGAATAACGACAAAGACAAGGATAAGAAAGAGAACGACGTGTCTTCCAATGGCGTTTAAAGAGATGCAGCACGCTTTTTTTATTCCCCGTGTTGTGATTATCGCATGGTGTATCTGACACTGATTTACTCTCTCATATGGGCCATAGATCTGAGTACCTGTTTACTTTCTATGCTCATCTCACGTTTGCATTTTGCGGAGCCGTTTGTAATGATATCTTTTTTTCCCCAATGGACATTCGCAGCGAAAATTTATCCATTTCTCTCAATTACTTCATTTTTCATCTGTATACAGTAAATTAAACTACTGGACTACTTTAGGTAACTCTACAGCCAGGTAAGCGCTGTTACCCCAATAGTCATGAGTCGTGACTTTAATCGACTAATCAAACGTGAGCTATCTCGTGTGTCTTCAGCAATTTTCGGGCTTGAGGCAGAAGCAGAAATACTAAGAGGAATGCAGAAGCGCTAAATCTTTTCGCGAATGAACGTAATAGCCCACTCGGAGGAATGTGTATTTTAATAATGGACTTTTCGATTAGACTAGCTTATATGTATATGCAGTACCTACGTAGAATACCATACCTAATACCTACCACAACTATACTCTAAACCATTGGAAGAACAGTCTTCCCTGCCCCCAGCGCCAAGACAAATATCACATTAAAGCGACATTTGTCATTACGACTACGTAGGTCCCAAGTCTTCGATCATGTCTAGCCTTAGTGACCTCCTCAATCGCCAAACCCCTACGCCATGGGAACAATTCCTGGCCCGCCCTTGTATCTTTGTTGCGCGGAAGCTGTATACTTGGCATCAAATCATCCTCCCACAACCACTCACAAACGCTGTTGCTATTATCTGCGTCTCCGATACCCACAACTGTCAACCCAGCCTTCCCGATGGAGATATTCTCATTCATGCCGGTGATCTCACACAATCGGGCTCATTCAAGGAACTCCAGGCAACACTCGCCTGGTTACGCGCCCAGCCCCATCCCACAAAAATAGTTGTTGCCGGCAATCACGATGTTTTACTCGACGCAGCGCGCGACGACTCAGACCAAGCTATCACCGAGCGAGCCCAGCTCGACTGGGGTGACATTATCTACCTAGAAAACGAGGAGACTACGGTTTCCTGTGCAAATGGTCGTCAGCTCAGGATCTACGGAAGTCCTCTTACTAGACGCAATGGTAACTGGGCCTTTCAATATCCTCCCGATCAAGACGTATGGTCTGGCTCGGTGCCTGGCGGGACTGATGTGCTCATAACTCATGGCCCGCCACGTGGTCACCTTGACTTGCTGACTCTGGGCTGTGCTCACCTGCTGCGAGAGTTGTGGAGAGTCAAGCCTAGACTACATGTGTTTGGACATGTCCATGCGGGTGCAGGCACTGAATTGATCTTGTTTGATACGCTCCAGGAGGCGTACGAGCGCACGGTCATTGCTAGAGGGGGTATTTGGAATCTTCTGTATACAATACGCGAGTTTGTCAAGACATGTTACAATCCGAGTGTCGAGGCAAAATGTTTACTTGTGAATCCAGCCATTGTTGGAGGATTGAGAGATGATGAACGAAGACAGCCCGTCAAAGTTGTCATTTGATGTTGCAGTGCCTTGGATTTCCTATATTTTTACCTTATCCCCTTGTAATCGAAAGATATTGTCGAGTGCTATTTTCCGGGGCCTTGGGCTAGACATCTTATGCTAGGCGCTTAGATGGCCACAAATTCCCTTCCAAGGTTAAATAACCATCATATCATTGTGACAGATACGTAGCACTCTCTTGTCGTCATCTTTCCATCATTGTCGCTCTATAGACCAGCCTGTCTAAAATTGAAAGCAGCAACGATACCCTTGAAAAGGGCACACGTCCTTCACCGCATATCGAGTAGATGCCAATCAGTTGCTGCTAGCCTCAGATGGAACCTTCTAAACTTCCCCTACATACTTGTATTGGATTATAATATAGAACAGTAAGAAGAAAATGAGAACAATTGGAGAAGAGGCGGAGAGCGAGGCGGTGAATTGGTGTTCTCAGCCCAATAACACCCATGTCCAGCAGGCCGCTATAGATTTCCATCGATGTCCCCATCGATATATGTCCTGCCATATGAGAACACCACAAGGCCTGCAAAACTCTTGGGATCATCTCTTAATAACCATAAAATCAAGGGCTTGATTTACCTCTTTTGAGGGAACTTCATGGCTATTTCTTCGAACCATCACGCCGGCATATCATGGCACGCTTCGTGAGAATATTTGCGCACCCTGTCCACTTTTCGAGCTCATCTCGATCTTCAATTCCAGTTTTCCGATCCCTATGGCATCAAAAGCTCGACTCCGTGTCTTTTACGCGGCTGGGCACTACAATGTCCAAGAAACATCGCGTCGAGTATGACTGGATCAAGGGTGTGGAGAAACTTGAAGAATACCAGCCTGGGGGTTATCACCCAATCATGGTCGATGACGTGCTACATGGCCGTTATATAATTGCAGACAAACTTGGCTTTGGGGCCTATTCGACGGTTTGGCTTGCCCGAGATGCTTATCTAAACCGATATGTTACTCTCAAGGTCTGCATAGCTGACTCGATTCAGCACGAGACGAAAGTCCTTAGGGCGTTGTCTGCTCAGCATTCGTCTTCTTCACCGGTATATCACGGCCGTCATTTAGTACCTGTCTTTCTACATGAATTCGAAGTGCAAGGTCCCAATGGAAAGCATATATGCTACACCGTGGACCCTGCACAATGTAACCTCAGAGAGGTCTCTTTTAATCGTCTTTTCCCTCTCGAAGTTGCTCGAGCACTATCATATCGACTAGTACAGGCTGTTGCTTATACACATTCACGAGGCTATGTTCATGGAGGTTTGTTATAACCATGACTATTGTTTAGATACTAGCTAACCAATACCCAAATATTTTGGGTGATCAGATATTCATTTGAACAACATTTTGGTCAAAGCCCCATCCAGTTTCGATGAGCTTTCTATCAAGAAATTCTATGAAACATTTGGCGAGCCTGAGACAGTCCCTGTCACACGACGTGACGGAGAACCATTATCACCCAATGTCCCGGCTAAAGCTGTTGTGCCGTTGTTCCTAGGGAAATACGCGGAGAAATTCTCGTCATCCGACGCACACCCGCTTCTGAGTGACTTTGGTGAAGCGTTTTCCCCCGCTTCAGATATTCGTCTTGGGAAAGACTGCCATACGCCAATCGCGTTTCGAGCTCCAGAAGCCAAGTTCGAATCGCGGATCTCGCTCGCATTTCCCTCAGATATCTGGAGTCTAGCTACGGCAATCTGGGAGATTATTGGAATGATGGCCATCTTTAGCACCGATTTTATGGATGAGGATGAGATAGCGGCCCAGCATGTCGATGTATTAGGGCCTATGCCACCGGAATGGTGGCAGCGCTGGGAAGGACGAGCCCGGTTTTTCCATGAGGATGCATATCCAAAGGAGTCCTATATGGAAAATAAATGGCCTCCTCTGGAGGAATCATTTGAGATCGGTGTGCAGAAATGGAGACGGAAAATGGGAGGCGAAATTGAGGAAGAGGAGAAAGCCGCGTTTCTGGATTTGATGCGTCGGATGCTGTCATTTAGGCCAGAAGAGCGACCGACTGCTGAAGAGGTGCTAATGTCAGATTGGATGGTCAAATGGGCATTGCCTGATTGCGAGCGGAACTAAATGCATTTTCTTGTGTTAATACTCATAACCATAGTTCAACATGACGGTGCACGACCTAAGTGCATCTATTGACATGCTTTTGATATCGTTCATAGTACACACAGCTGTAATATCTACGAACTACTCGATAGCCTTGAAATTGAAAAATTCAGTTAAAATCTGTGAATGTTACAATGCTTGTGGTGAATCGAGGGCGGATGTTCACCCCTGAGGCACCAACTTTCATGACTCGCGGCCCAAAACATCGCCCTTCTGTCCAAACAACAACCATACTTCGGAAGTAACAGGTCCTGTCTTGGACTCGAAAATCACAGTATATAAATCGTCGTTTTGGGTATATTGGGATATAATTCAAGCATTCCGAACTGCCCGCCATCATTCTGGCAAAAAACCTGCCCCGCTGTGTCCGTGTCGGGACCAGAAGACACGAACTTCATACCTCAACCAAGCCAACACCATTGACTTCAGATGCGGCTCTTTTATTGCTCACTAAGAAATATCCTATCACACAACCCGTATCACATCTTGACTTCAGAAACTTCTCAACTTCACCGTCTCACAAGATGAGGATTGCAACTCTCCAATTCGCGCCGAAGCTAGGCGATCTCAAAGGCAATATCGAGAAAGCAAATGCTTTATTGAAGACCGGCAAGACCGTTTCTGTAAATGGAAAGGAGCTTGGGATTGGGGTCGATCTGTTGAAGCCTGATATCTTGGTGCTGCCCGAGTTGGCGATGACGGGTAAGTGCCTACCCAACCGGCTGTCCACGAGCGTATATTGAGCAGCATGAGCCCTGTCTCCCCCAGTCTATAACATACAGCTCAGCCTGGGGAAAAAGCTTCACTGGCTAATGAACAACTAGGGTATAACTTCCCTTCTTTGGAAGCGATCAAGCCATATCTCGAGCCAGCTGGTAAAGGCCCCTCTGCCTCTTGGGCCCGCGAAACTGCGAAGCGCTTGGGATGCAAGATCTGTGTTGGGTATCCGGAGATTGAGAAAGATTCTGAAAATCCCGACAAAGTCACATGCTATAACTCACTTCTTGTTGTCGACGAGAACGGTGTGTTCATCCTCAACTACCGCAAAACCTTCTTGTATTACACCGACGAAACGTGGGCGGCCGAAGGTCAAGTCGAGCGAGGATTTCATGAGCTTGAATTCGCCACTGAAGGCAACCTATCTTCCTTGACAAATCCGGTGCGTCAGGGTGAGCAAGTTTTACCCGGGAAAAAACAGGTCGCGACTTCGCTTGGTATCTGCATGGATATCAATCCGTACAAGTTCGAGGCGCCATTCGACAAGTGGGAGTTTGCGACTCGAGTTCTTGACTCCAAGTCCCAGCTTGTCATTCTGTCCATGGCCTGGTTGACCATTCTGAGCCGGGAAGAGCTCGATGCCTTGAAGGATAAGCCCGAGATGGATACTTTCAACTATTGGCTTCAGCGGTTTTGGCCCCTGTTGCAAAAGAGGATGGAACATGAGGTAGATCTTGATGGCGGAAAGGCGGCAGATCCTCCGAAGAAGATCGTCATTGTGTTTTCTAATCGGTCGGGCGAGGAGCCATCGACAGAAGATACCAAGCCACCGGCGCGATATGCGGGCACAAGCGCTATCATTGCTGTGACGCAACGGCCCACTCTCAATGCTGCAGAGAAATATGCAGAGTCAGGTGCGCACGCCTCTGATGAGGAAAGTGAGACAGAGGATGCAGGCATCCCATTCGACGTGAAGATACTTTGCTGGGATATGCTAGGCGCCGCAGAGGAGGGTATTTGTTTCGCGGATACTACGGCAGATCCACAAATGGTATTTGCACTGAAAAAGGCGTCTGAGTGAGGGGTGCACTGGACGCATCAGGCTATTCCACAGATAGTGAAGAGTCTATGAACTGATTGAGGGTCCACCCTAGCAACATGACATTAGAAATCACATTTCGATCGCTCGAATTTCTGTGATACCTCCCAATCCCAGAATATATACACTAAACAGTATATATTGCTCAGTGTTATGGCGATCCTACCTTCAGGTATGGAAACTCCACCGATTGCCATAGCGCATCATTTGTAGGTGATCCATGTGACAAGGGACCCAAACATGATGACACCAGAGGAAGATCGTCGAGATCGTCGCAATCTTCAGGCGAAAAGCCCAGATACTTAGCTTAATATCGCAGGGGGAATTCTGAGGTCTCATGATCATTCAGTCTCCAGGTTTATCAATATGCGCGCAAAGTACTAGAGGATACCCTTTTAGATCTCCAATGCAACCCTTTGGAGAGATAGTGGTGTGAAGGGCTTAGGGAATCCTATTTCAGGATGCTTATTCTGAAACATGTGATTCTGCTCTCCCCCACCTCGATGAGGGATCAGAGGTAAAACCGACGAGCAGTAGAAAGAATGTATCATTTAAGCTGTATTATAAAAAGAACTCGTGTTATATCATGATATAGACCGGTACACCCGCTACATAATGCACGACTTTGTTTCCTATTGCTACCAATATACTGGGATATTCCCCTGTTATGTTTCCTGATTCACTTGAAGGGGTATCTCATACACTAGTGGATCTAACCTGATGACTTGCAGAGAAACAAGGATGGGGGTCACCCCGGATCAATGCCGGCTATATTACATGTAGTTAGTAGGCTTCTAGTGTGTCTAGACTACGCCCATATACTTGTTATTGTGTAGATTTATGAAGTTCTTTGTATCCGACGGTCTGACCCCCCTCCTTGTAGTGGGTGAATAGAGCCTGTGATTGGCCCATAAGATACACCTTCACGTGATCCAGGAATTCCCCCTCCGAGAGCCGGCAGCCAATCAGAGATCGAGAAAAGAGGTGTGCAGCAGAGGGGCACGGGATGGCTGCACATGACTTCCGATGAGAGATGGAGGCGTAGAATCTATTCAAGCATTTTAGTTGGTTATCTTCAGCTGTGTTGTCGGTTTCTTTTTGGATGTGTTTGCAAAATTGTCTAGACCTCCAGGGCTTCCAGGCGGTATGCGGTACGCTTACGTCAGTGTATCTTTTTGAATAAGGGAAATCAGGTGATTTACTGCACCATTGGTCGTTCTGAGCTGCCGTATTCAGCGCGACTCCTCCTCTTGACCACCTCCTTGCCACGTGAGCAATCCATCTTGAACTTGTCCGCCACTCTACATCTTCCTAAAGAGACGCCTTTTCTTATTTCTAAATTTACCGCAAGGTAGATTGCTAAGTTGTTTGCATATCTTGATATCGGCTTCTTCAAATTTTCAACTTTCGCATTTTCACGTCCCAATTTCGAATTCGGGGTTTCGCAGACAACGTGACCTGCGTCGTGTTGTTGTCGGGCAGGTGACTTCCTGTCAGGTGATAAAGAGAGATCATCCCAAGGTACGGCTCCATCAATGCCCCATCTTCATATAGATTTCCCCATATCATTGCATGTCGCATCGTGATGCTCATCGCCAGTGGTGACCTCCACGATGCTGCCCCCCTGTGTGACCTCAGCTGCCTGCAAGCCATCATGACGCGTTCTTGATATCTGCAACCCCGGTGTTTGGAGGCATCGCATTATATGCGATCGCTCGACAACATTACTGCCCCGTAAAACTATCCCCATGCACTGCTGCCCGCCAGAAAAATTGAATGGCGATGGTCGGGTTGGACATGTCCGGCCTCAACCTGGGATGCCTTGCGAGCGCGTCGGCTCCACGCGTCTGTTTACTTCGCGGGGTGTCCACTGATCTTCCCGGGACTTGATCTGCCAGGCACCATCTTACCGCAGGCTGCTTTCATATCTCCAATCATATTGTTCTCTTGTTCTCCGAGACTCGCTTCACTTCACTTTTCACTTCCTAGCTGCATGACTAATCATTACCACGCATAGGACGATCAGCTTTAGGGCTCAGCATGTCTGATCCCACCATGAATAGCCCAGATAATGGCTCGCACAAGCGCAAGAGAGATGGCTCCGAGGATCTAGGTCCCGACTCGCAGCGTCTTAACCGCTCTTCCCACGGAAGCAACGGCAGCATGGATAACCAGCACAACTTTGGCCACGGAGGGCTTGGGAACTACGACCACGGACTTCCCAACACTGGGGCCGAACTCAACATTGATCAACAAATTCTTCAGCATGTTGGTCCGCAGAATGGCCTGTCTGACGATAACGCGTTGACCGCGAACGCCAAAGCCGCCCTGGCTGCACACACCCCTCAACACAAGTACCCCCCTCCTCCCGATTCCGGTTTCGATGCAAGCAACCTCACCCAAGGGCTGTCCTTTGCCGATGAGATGAACCAGACCCCCATGGGCGGTGGTCACAACCACAATTCGACTGCCGCCGCCGTCTACGCTGCGCGCGAGGCTCAGAGTATGAACCAGAAGCCTACCGTTGGCTCTCCTGAATGGCACCAAATCCGCAAGAACAATCACAAAGAAGGTAAGAACCAATTTTCCGATCGCGTTCGTGCTTCCATACTGACCCCTTCCTTTAGTTGAACGCCGCCGCCGCGAAGCTATTAATGAAGGTATCAACCAGATTGCTCGTCTTGTGCCGAACTGTGATAAGAACAAGGGCGCGATCCTTCAACGTGCCATTGAATATATCCTGCAGCTGCAGGAAGACAAGAAGAACATCGACGAACAATTCGAGAAGCACAGCCTGACTGCTAATCATGCTATCGCCGAGATCAGCGGCTCGAACTCCAAGCTCAAGGGCGAGGTCGCCCGGCGCAACAACATCGCCCTTAAGTGGCTGTCGCGTTGCCGGGATGCTGGCTTAGACTTTGATGACTACGAAGAGGCTAAAGAGCTAGAGTCACTGGAGATGGATTAGGCTCATCATCCTTATTCTTCTGCATGTGCTACGACTTGTTGCGTTCCGGAGGTCAAGACTTGAACATACCCTCATCTCTCTGTTTTTCAAATCTGCTGTTCTGCTGTTCTGCTGTTACCAGATATTTTCTCTTACTGCCATGTTTCCTCCAATCGATGTAACCTCACCATGAACTTCTCATTACCCCCCGTTTCCTCACAAGGTCTGCCCCTGGCATTCTGAATTACATTTCCCATTAGCTACCCTTGCGACTTGTTTGCGCAATTTTCTCTTGTGTTGCTGCTTACCCCCTTTGATCATTCTTTGCCCACACATATTTACGGTCTTTGTACGCTACTCGGGCTTTGTTCTTTGTTCTTTGTTTTTTTTTTTTTTTTTTTCTTCTTTTCTTTTCATCATTAATGGATTGTGGGCTGGCGAATCTATGGCTGGGATGGGTTTGCCTTGGAATGGAGCTGCGGATTGTTTAGTCCCTTTTTTTCGAACTGTTTCATCTCTTCCCTAGACTTGTTGTAGGAATCGTGTCATAGTTGTATATTGAGGGGGCTGTCGCAGAGCTCTCACATTTCGTCCGCTCATTGACTATAGCGTCGAATGTGACTTGCCAAATTCAATTTTCAAAAAGATCTACAACTAACAGCGGCGTCATTCAATCAGCCACTGAGGTCAAATCATCCGAGCGGAGATGACACAGCCTTGATCAGCTTAGTCTACCCCTCCCTCTTATGATGTCAACGCAATCCAAGTCATCTTCCTTTTCTACTTAATCCGATCTGTTTCTCATATTTCCTCTTTATTATACAAACATGCCTTCCTACATTGTGAGTAAAATAACACATTCAAACCGTATTCTTGCTAACCCTCTTAGATCACGTGCAAGCCAGACGCAACCGACGACCAGGTTCAGGCGTATGCATCTCACGCTGATATTTGAGATAAACTATGCTAATACATTGCCTTTTAGCGTCAAGGAACATGCCCAGGAGCAAGGTGGCTCTATCGGACACGAATACTCGTTGATCAAGGGCTTTTCGTGAGTTGTTTCCACACTCTATCGGTCTTCTTTCCGGTGAGGTGGCTAATTCTTGATCTTGATGTTTAAAGTGTCACTTTCCCCGAGGATTCGGTTCATAGCCTGGACTCACACCCGCATGTCGAGAATGTCGAGGCGGATGGTGAAATGAGGACACAGTAATTGTCTGCCAGATATGACATTTTGCGGACAGCATGCATAGCAGGAGGACCGATTCGTTAGCGTGTTGCATCACGGCCTCTTTGGGCTGTGACGTATACAACTGAGTCTTTACCAGCCAGAGTACGAGTTTACGATAGAGAGCAAATGAGCTATATGTTTTGAAGAGAGAGGGACCTTGTAGATCGACATTGCTATAAGTCAATTGCAATGGAGTAGATAACCTCGGACACAGAAATCCCCGCACCAAACCACCTCAATGAAGAATATCAACAGAAGAAAATAAATTTACAGTTTCTCCACTCAACCCCAAATTTACAGGTTCGACTTGGCAGTAACCTCGTTGCCAGAGCCAACACCGACGTTCTTGACAACAACGGTCTTGCCACTAGCACCGGTAATACGCACATCAACAGTGCTAGTACCGAATCCAGCAGAGTTCTCGAAGAAGTTGTAGTACTGGCGGGAGGTTTCCTGCCACGTGCTACCACCGTCAGTGCTAACATCCAACGAAGCCACAGGCTCGTTGGCGTTAACAACTTGCATCGAGAACCAGTAGGCGGATGTACCCTCCTTGTTCTTGAGCTTGATGGGTCCGTCCAGATCGCAAGACACATATGACCAGGTGGTCTGGATGATGCCGGCGGAGATATCTGAGAGCTCGGCGAAGGCGTTCTGGAAGAGATCGAGGTGGTTGCTTTCGCATTCGGGGCATTGATCGACGATCTGGTTTGGGTTAGAGTGGGTTGGGGATGGGATGGGAGGGAAGAGGGGCTTGGCTTACCATTGCCTTGATGGAGTTACCACTGGGTCCGGTGACGGAAACACAGGAACCGCAGTTGGCTGCGTCATCCCAACGCTGAAGAGAGAGGGCTGCGCCGAAGAGGTGGCTCGGGAGGGTGTAGCCGGAGAATGAGCAGGTTCCGCCACCGACATTGCCGCCGTAGAAGGTGGCCTTGCCGGGGGTGCCGTTAGAGGGGCTGGTGGATGCAGACTTGGTGGAAGAGGAAGAAGTAGAGGACTTGGTAGAAGTGCTGGGAGCTTCAACGGTAGCCTTGGTGGTGGTCTGCTCGGCGGGGGCCTTCACAACTGGGGCCTTCACGACCGGGACAGCAGTAGGCTCAACGGGGAGAGTCGCAAGTGAAGTGGGGGGAACAACCACAGCTGGATCGGACTTGACAATTTCGGCCGTGGCAGTTGTGGTATCGGCAGCAGGGGCGGCAGAGGTCGTAGTCTCGATTTTGATAACTGGGGCAGTAGTCGTGGACTCCACGACAACGGAAGTAGTCGATGTGGGCGCAGCGGTGGTTTGAGACAGGACAGCAGCCGTAGTAGACGACGAGGCAACTGTAGACTGTACAGAGGTCGCAGATGCATAGATGGTCTTGTAGTAGACACTCATAGTGTAGCCCTTAGGGCAGTATCCGTCATCTTCGCGGATGCCCAATGGGCCAGCGGAGACAGTAGCGGCGCTGATAAGAGCGGCCACAGAAGCCAGGCGAAGATACTTCATTGTTGGATTTGTAGATCGAAAGAATGGAAGGGTTTAAGACAAGGTATCGAAGATTGAATAAGTCACAGATTGACTCTTAGAAATGATCGGACGTGCAGGTGCACTGTAAAAGAATGGACGTCTGGATAACGAATGCCAGATTCGAAAGAGTTACTGTTCCAGACAGAAGTGTAAAGGAAGCAAAAGAATGTATGAAAAGAGAGAAGAAAAACTTGGGATGGATTGGTATATAAGTTTAGGCGCCCTTGAAATCCATGCTCATACTCGTGGCTCAGTGAACTAGTAAAATTGATCATTTCATAGTAAGAACTACACTCAAAAGATGAAACATGGCGTAGATTGTTGGCCAGTATAAATGCTCCGGAGAAGCCGAAAACGGTCTTTGATCCATTACACTATACCGTGTTAGGCTAGTGAAGGTTGTTTAAATTAAAGAGGGGAAAAAAAGAGGAAAAAGAGGAAATGACAGTGAGTCAAGATAAAATGAGCTGTTCTAGGCTGTAGGATTGGCCAGGGCTATCGAGCATCCCACATAATCTCGTTCAATCCCAGTAGCGCATCAGCACTGGCCTTTTTCGCCGACATAAATTCCTCTCGGCTCTCCGCCCCGCGTGGACCACGCAGAATTTCAGAGAAGCATAGCTCTACGAGAACACGTAGCTCATCGTAGGTAAAAGGCTCGCCGTTACCAGCAGCCAAGGCTTTGTCGCCAAGGGACGCAAAAGCCTCCTTCTCTTCCTTGGCGTACTCAAGGGTCTTCTCAGCGCCTTCTAGGAACCAGTCTAGGAACTTGGCGCTGCGCGGTAGGGCGACAACTTCTTGAGCAGCCTGCGTGTGTAAATCTGTGGCCGAATCCGACGAATCACCAACTGGATCGATGATAATGTTCTTCAAGTTTTGTTGGAGAACAAGCACATCAAGCTGTAGTCGTAGCGCTCCATTCTCATTCATGGCCCCGATATACTCGGTGCAGGCAACAAATACCCGGTCGATAAACCGTGCCAGGCCCGATGTGATAAACCAGCGCTCAACAGATCCCAGATACGTCGAGATGTTAGTGTCGAATGCGATGAGATCATTGTTAAGTGCGAGAATTGTGGGCGATGCAGCGGTTGGCTGATTCATGATAATATGCCACCAGTTGTCCGTTGTGTTTGGGGATGGAGTGACGGGCTCAGAGTTCCGCAAGTTAGGAGGATTTGGCCCGGACATTGTTTTAGTCAACATGTGGATGATGCCACAGCGGATGTCAATATGCATCGTCAGAATTGAAGTAGCCCCAAGCCGATGTAATGATTCAAGGGTCCCATCGAAGGCGACAGCAGTCTCGTGGTTGAGTGGTAGATGCACCGGGTGATTGATGCTATCGCGATTAGGCTTCATAGACCCGAACAAAGTCCATCTACGAGATGGCCGGCCAGTTGCCGTCAAACTGGATGACTCGGCATCCGCGTTATGTTCAACCACAAGTCGAATTTTCGCGAGGTGACTGGCAAGCCATTCCATACTGTTGTACAGGAGTGAAAGTGAAATGACAGTTTTCGGATCAGATATGATGTCGTAAGGCTCCAAAGGCACTTCCCTTGTTCGCTTGAGAAGAAGGTCGATTTCTGTGTCGATCAGTGTCTGTTTCTTGTCCCCGGCACCTTTCCACAGTTCATCGACGACATCATAGATGTCGCCTGAATCAGCAAACGAAGCCGCAGCTTTCAGTTGGACTTCGCCTCCGCGGTTCCGCGCAGAGACTTTCGTGACCATTGCTTTGTACCACCCACAGCACTTGTCATAATAGGTCACGATCTGGTCAATAAGAAGCTGCGTAAATGCTTGATCGTGGGGAATACTCGACAGCATTTTGCTAAATTCCCGAACAATGGACATGAATTTTACCGTTCCTCTGAAAATAGGCCGAGGAGAGGACTTAGCCCATTGGGGGTCTTCTGTAAACGCATCTGCGGAAATGAAGCTGAGGGTGCAGAGATCCGTCACTGTTTCATCCAACTGAGGCAGGAAGACATTGACCATGAAGTCATCCAAAAAGGAGGTCAAAGTGCCCATCGGAATATCCGAATCAACAGGAACAATATCCTTGAGCCGTTGAATGAAGGATAAAGAGGGAGGAAGCAGGATCCCCATATTGAAGACACTTGGTTCAAGCAAAATCTTATGCCCGGTCCCTGAGTTGCCCTTATGGGATTGTGTAGTATTATTTGTTGCGGTCTTTTGCCTTGACTTGGAAACAAGTCCCGGAACCGAGGACTTGAGGATTTCATCCAGTTCGTCCTGTTCAGCTTTCATCTCAGTGTTTTGCTCAATGTCGGACAACTTGAACATTTTCTACGACATAAAGGGTCAGCTATTGAGAAGATGAAAAGGACTGGTCTCCTTACCTTATTCTTATCGCGGTTGCCGGTGTATAGGTGACGTCGAGTGTCAGTTTCCTCTGCTCTAGATCGAACAGAAGAGTCGCCATCGGTTGCAAGATAGTCATGCATGAGAGATCGTATCTAAAATAAATTAATATTCGCGATGCCAGTCAAAGGTGTTGGGGTCTTGCCTCGCTTTGTAGAAGTTTCCACAACTCCTTGAATCCACCGGAAAGCGTCTCGCTTTTAATTAGACCTTCTCGTTCCACAATAGCCGCAACAACATCGTGAAGAATCCGGTGGCCTTCCGCAATTGCCTCGAACTTGGCATACAATGCCCACAAGAACTCAGAAAGGACGTGGCCCCGTTTTTCAATAATCTCGGTGGGGAGACTGGACTGTTTGTAGTTATCCTGGGCCGAGAAGCTCTTGGTTGGGGCAGGATAGCGAGTATCAACCTCTGCGTTTGTCTTATCCACCACAGCAAACAGTTCTACCGGAAGACGCTGCTCAATTCTATGAACCGCGATGTCAAGATGACCCATCTTGTTCAGTGCTTCGATCAATAACTGAATATAGGAAAACGTGTCAGCCTCCGGGTTCCGAGAGGCGTCTTCGACCATAGGCGTCAACGGATCGAACTTGGCCAGGAAATTATACACAGGCCGTTCCCAAGAGCGACTACCGGACCAATCAGATGTATGCACCTCCTTTTCATCAGATGTCGGTGGTTTCCACCGGTCTGAGCAATATGGTGATTTAAGGTATAAATGGTCGTGCAACTCCTCGATTAGGATGTCTGTGAGCGACGTTTCCTGGTTTATGAAATAAGCGCGAATATCGGATAAAGCACCGATGTCTTCCAGCTCCGAGCGCCGTAGAACTCGGAGACCAGTGTGAAGCACATCCACAGCTGCAAGGAAGCGCTTGTCTGAGATCTGAGATTCCAATTTCTCGGGAAGGGATTGGATTTCCTCAATCTGAGTGAACAGCTGTACGATATCATCGTAGTTCTGAGACGACGTTGCCAGGCCTTTCAACTCGGGCTTGGTCGATATTAACCCGGATTTGGCTTGATCCAGGGCATTTCTCAGGCTGCGCACTCGAGTCTGCGAGGAAGATATATTGGATTGGATTTTGTGGTACGTTCCAATAGAACTGTTGAATCCCTGATGGTGTTCTATGACATGCAATTTTAGCATATGCCTGCCCTGGCCACTGCAGAAAGGACCTACCATTGACAATTGCCTTCAATGTCTTCTGGATGTCATTGTACATGTGCAAAAATTCCGGCTCGCGATCTGCTTTGCCCAACGTACTTGTGTCCATCAAACTCAAAGCAACGTGTACTGGTACGCACTCAGTATCGGTCATGAAGTCCCAGTCGCGCTGGATAGACTGGAGAATCGCTGTTGAAAATGACCACATTAGCTATTGGGCCAGGCCAAACAGAAGAAAAAGACATACTTTCAATAGCCTGTGCCTCCCCCGAGCTATTGCTCCTCATAGCTACAGGCGAGGCATTCCTCTGGCTCCTATGGTCCCTTTGGCCTCTCTCCTCCCTTTGGCCTCTCGGGTCCCGTTGATCTCTTTGGTCCCTGTGGTCCGCGTACCGATTTGCATCCCTAGACCGTTCTTCCTGGTTCTTCCTATCGGGTTCTTGGTTCCTTGTGCGCGACCGTGAAGAGGGATGCGAAGAGGCTTGTGAGGACGGGTCCGACGAGGGATGCGATGGGGGATGCGGAGAGGGGTTCGACGACGGTTGCGGAGAGGGTTGCTGCCAGTCCCGGTTCGTTCGATCGCGCCGCCGCTCGGGCGACTGGCTTGGCGGGGGAGATTGGCCTGGAGATAGATCTGGAGGCTGAGGCGAGTCGGCGTAGAAACCACCATATCCGCCGGGGCGACGATCTGAACGTGCACCTCCGCCTGGTGGTGCGACACCTAATCCACCGTATCCGTTTACCCCAGGGTTGCTGTTTCCACCGTATCCCCCATCGTTGCCATCGTACCGGCCCGGGCCGGAGTAGCCATACCCGTTACCATAACCGTTTTGGCCGCTCATTGCATATGACGCGCGCTAATCACGGGGTGTTCCGGTTCAGTATGGAAGTGTTGGTGGGCTGTGACAAGGGGCTGGCGTGGGGCCGTTAGCCAGAAACGTTCGGTATTAGATCCTGTGACTTGCGCGTGACAATTGGCGAGGAGCTGCGGGCATTCTTGGCTTGAAATACAGAGAGAACTGGAAGCAATTCAGTGACGCCGTTGTGGTAGTGTTGGAACAGGCCGGGGCGGAGTGTCAAGGCTCCACCAGAGCTTCCCGCATTCCATTCCACTGGCCAGTTGTCGGTAAGTTTACAAATGGTCTCCATTATATCGTTTATTGCGCCGCTGTATTTATTGCTAACAACTATTTGGTGTTTGATTCACGCTAGACTATTTATGCCTAGACAGTATTGAAATGGCGTATAGCCATATAGGCTGTATTCTACATAATGTCGTCTAATCAATAGCAGTGGGAGTAGGTATGTATCAAACCACGGCCGGGCCCATCAGGGCCACAGATGACTTATTTGGAGATGGGCTGGGTCTCGCGCTCAAGCCATGAGCGTGTCAAATCATCTGAGTCGAAGAAATGCTTTGTCTTCGCCCATATCTCAGCGTGGTAATCATTCACCCACTTAAGCTCGGCGTCGCTCAAAAGCGATGGCTCAATCAGGTTGCGACCGATAGGAGTCATCGTAACATGCTCAAAGCCTAGCCACTGCTTGTCGCCAAACTTGTGGGCGGTTTTAACTTCGCGAGCCATGACAATGTCTATAAAGAGAGGCATTAGTGTTTTTTCCAATTGCGGCCACAGGGGGACAACTCACTCTCAATTCGAATGCCAAATTTGCCGTCCTCATAGTATCCGGGTTCTATATCAAAGATTAGGTTCAGACTGCAATAAGTAGAGTATGAGAGACAAACCATCTGAAATAACGTTTCCAGCCGCAATAGGGACCTCGGTATACTGAACGCGAGTCCCGATGCCAATAGGACCCTCGTGGACATTCTGAACACAGGTTAGCAGAGAGTAAGGTGTCTGGTCAGCGATAGTACTCACCAGATAGGAGCCAACACCATGGCCTGTTCCGTGAAGGTAGTCCAAGCCTTCTTTCCACAAGTGCTGGCGTGCCAACACGTCAAGTGCAAAGCCACTAGTCCCCTTGGGGAACACTGCCATGTCGATTCCGATAGTTCCCTTCAGTACCAACGTGAAAGCACGCTTCTCGAACTCTGTGGGAACACCGAAGTGGAATGTTCTCGTGGTGTCAGTGGTTCCGTCGAAGTATTGACAACCGGAGTCGCAGAGATAGATGGCATTTGGGTCGATGATAGAACAACTTCCCTTCTGGGGGCTATAGTGAATGACGGCACCGTTGGGCCCAGTTGAAGAGATGGTATCGAAGGAGAGACCAGCAAACAGATCATGCTTAGAGCGGATCTGCTCCAACTTGTCGGCTCCGTCAACCTCATCCATGACAGTCTTCTTGTTGACAAGTTCGTTTTCAAGCCAAGCAAAGTACTCGGTCAGGGCAGCACCATCACGGATATGGCAAGCCCGCATTCCTTCGAGTTCGATTTCATTCTTAACAGCCTTAGCATCCGCGATCGGGCTGCGGGTCTCTTCGACCTGTCCCTCGCCACCAAGGCTGAGGCTAAGAGCCCAAGAAGCCTTGTTCGACAACAAAAACTTGGCGGCGTTCTCACCCTCAGCCTGGCTTCTGGTGCTGAGGGCTTGAGCATCAGCAAAGATGGATTCGTATGGCTTGATGACAACATCTTGTCCCAAGTGAGCCTTGACCTCTGGTGTCAACTTGTCATCCTCGACATAGATCTCAGCGGTGGTGGGCGTAATAACCACATAAGAGAAAAACACGGGATTGTATGGAATACTGCTCAGAGTTAGTGGATTCTCAATGATGCATCACGGCAAAGGCACTCTTCTTACTCGGTTCCTCTCAGGTTGAATAGCCAAGCAATCTCATCGAGCATAGCTGCAATAAATTAGTCACTCTGCCGGGCTGGGATATATGCGAAGTGGTCATACATATGACGAATCCAGCCTTCTTCTTTGACTCAAGTTCCTTTCGCAGCTCGGCCACCTTCTCTTGGAACGACTTGCCAGCATACTTCTCGGGGTGCACGCGCACTTTCTCGCTAGGACGCGCGGGGCGTTCCTTACCCCAAACCAAGTCGACCAAGTTCTCCCGGACCCCTACGAGGGTTGATCCATTCTTTTTAAGGGTCTCTGCCAACTTCCGTGCACCAGCTATTGAATATTAGCCCCATTATGCACTTCCACATCTGAAATAACAATACTCACACGCTGTGATCAGAGAGGGGTCAACACCCACAGCCTTGCCTCCTTGGGCCTCCTCCGTGGTCCTATTAGTAACATCAGTTCCCGCATAGATCATTGCGCATCACTCCCATCTCGTACCATTCCTGCCATGTGGGCACGCCCTCGACTCCACCCTTCAAGAGCTGCCAGTTGGTATCCAATTGTTTCGCGGCTTGGTTGAAGTATCGTCCATCGGTGGACAGCGCAGCTTTGCTTAGGGAGATGATTGCGGTACCGGCGGAGCCAGAGAATCCAGAAATGAATTCTATGGAAATGTTAGTTGTCGGCGCAGGGAAAGCAGCGGAGAGGGGGTAATTGTTGACCTCGGCGGGCATCACATGGCGCAATGTACTCGGACTGGTGGCTATCTTCTGAGGGCACAACTATACGAAGCTGGTAAGCACAAGTTGAGGTTAAAGAACCCATGCGGACACGAATATGATGTCATACTGTAAACATCCACCTTGTGCTGCTGCATCAGCTGCCTCAGCTTGGACAGGCGTTCACAAGTATCCACAGCTTCCATATCGACTGTGTAGCGTGGACCAAAAACAGAGAAGTATCTTGGACGGGAGAGGGGCCTTAGCGATCGCAAAGATGTCCAAAGGCGAATTGGATGGGAGAGGGGCATGGACACGGGACTTCAAGAGATTCCACCTGTTAGCTTTTGAGGAGCTAAGCGAAGCAGGGATTGAAGGTGTCAGATAAGTGCACGATAAGCTAATCCCGCAGGTCGTGTGGACTCTTAAGTGGCCTTTTACAGGTAGGCTTTTGGCCATAAGGCGATCTCCGGAGTCACGGCTACCCACGGCCCACTTTGTGTTGTCATGTTTGCACTATCTATACTCCGGACCTTTTAGGATACAATCAACACCTTTTCAATTTCTCTTCTTTGTGGAAATTTATATTACCTGGCTTTGAGCGACAATCCTATTATACTAGTTCTTTGTATGGCCTAGGCCAAGCTTCATACCCTGGAAGCAGGGTCAATAGGACCATAGGACCTGTGGCTTGGAAATAACAAACGTGTAAAGAAGCAACACAAGGAGTACGCTCGGGATTATACTTCTGCAATTGATCAAATGGGTCATTCTAGGTACTTCGGGACATGAGAGCTGTTATCCAGCCTAGACGAGTGACTTGCTCATGCTCATAGTTGAAGTCATGCTCCTCGGTGGTAGATATGAGGGAGTTAACATGTTCTATCACCAGCACAATGAGAAGCACAGCTCCTGAGAAATGAATTTCCCACGTTCAACATGTAATATTGTACAGTCTGGACTTCCAACATATCTATAGTTCAATCAAAGAGGTCACGTGCTTAGAAACCAGAAGATGAGCCCCCGCAGTTACCGCTCCAGAAGCCGCCCTGCCGCTGATTGGGTAAGTGATACAAACATTAGATTCTGCCCGTCATAACCCCCCGTGCTTGTATATGTCACTTCTCTTTTTCATTTCGACAACCACGCGCTTGCTAAGACAAAATGGCAACATGGATGTCTGACGAGGGTCTCGGGGCCAGGGAGTCAATCTCAGAAGCCCATATTGTGTGTATGCCATTTCCACCTCTGAGATCAAACGGCTAATAAAGTACCAGCTGGTCACCGAACTCTATAATCCAGCAAACCAACGGGACCCCGCGAGAATCAATGAGATTCAGACACGCCTCCAACAACTTCAGAAGGCCGAGAATGCATGGGCAATTGCTGATTCACTTCTGCAAAGTGAACACTCTGCTCATCATCGTTTCATGGGGGCCCTTACATTCACAGTGAAGATCAATGTCTCATGGTATGGTTAATCTGTTGAATCCGCGATATTTCGATCTCATCGTTATGCGACGAATAATTGCTGACGTCGGATATCATTAGGAATGAAATCAACCAAAATTCCGCCACCGAGATCATGCAGCACCTGACCAATCGCTTTGTTGCTTTGGTAACCAATGGTGAACAAGCAATGGTTGTGAGAAAGCTTGCCTCAAGCTTGGTCGCCATTTTCAAACATCCTGCCACACCATGGAAGCAAGCTGTTTGGCAGCTGGCTGCAAGCCTCGTCCACGGTGGATACGTATCCGAAGAACAATCACAAGTGGTGGATTTTCAGGAACGGATACTGCCCGCATTGAGCAAGAGTGGATCGGGTGCACTTCTATTTTTCTCAATTGCACTTGCCGAGGAGGCTCTCCGACTAGATTCTGAACCCCAAGATTCGACTGGAGATACCTCGGCCATCCAGCGAGCTATACACAACATTAAGGACGGTTTGCTACTGGTTCAATTTGTTCTTGGGGAGGTCATACAGCATGCAAAGGCAGCTGGGGATGATGCGGTTGATGTAGCACTAGCGGCTGAAGCCATGAATTCATGGAAGGTTAGTTAATCTCGGGCTCTGGTACTTCCGTCTTGAAGAGCACAATCGCTGATTTTGACTCTCACATTGCAGACATGGCTAGGCGTTCATGGAAATCGACAACGCTCCTCTGCTGAAGACGTCAATGCCTTGGCAGTACGATGTGGCCTGGCCGTCATTGAGACATTGAGAGTACCCAGCTTGAGTGAAAGTGCGGCTGCTATTTTGACCCAAGCCTTTGAAAGCCGGCGCTGGGCCTTTGATGACAACTCATTATGGCTTATTTCCGAAATCCTTGCCGATTCAATCGTAACAGTTCACATTGCTGCCGTGAGAAGCGGCGAAGAAGGAGTGGAAAGCATGTCGTTTGTTGACCTCTTGATTGCATATGTCTCGCACTTGCATTTAGATGTCTTCAGCGACCCTATGACACCACAAAATTCAGCAATTCTCACTCTTATCCACGGGATTTTCAAAACCCCTGGCTATGCTTCCATTGATGATCTTGGGACCCCACGTGTCTTGGAGTTCTGGAACGACATCGCAGAGAGTCTCCCCGATCAACTCGAAGAAGGAAGCCCTAGGTATGACTTGGTGAAGTCACATCTAGCCGAAGTTGTCTTGGGTCTTTCT